TGGTTTTAACGCTCAAATAGTATTAAAAATTGCCAAACGTAGACAAGAAATAACAGTTCTTATCAGGCCCGTAGCCAGACTTGATTGTTCGGAGGGGCAACTAATATATCTGGAGGGGCAATGATGTATGGTGTTTAATTGCAGTAATGGAATTGGTCGGTTGTCAGAATTTTTTCTCGTCTGGTCCTAAGAAAACTGATGATGGGCGTAACAGTTAAAAATGAATATAGAAAAAAAATTTACTGTCAATTTTCCGTCGCCCTTCAATTTTGTGTGAAAGATGATTGAATACTAGAGTGTATTATATTACAATTATACACCTCTGCTTATAAAAACTGGTTTTAACACTGAACATGTAAATTTATGGTTAGCAATGGTCCTAATTCCCATATTTTTATGAGCAATTGTTCGTTTATCAACTCTCCGGTGAATACACAGGCCAGGTCTCGTCGCAATGAATGGTCCTGCGCTATATTTGGCTATTGGAGACGGCAAATTTATTCAATAGAATATGAGGGACATTTTAACGGGACAGCAGTATTGGCCCATCCTTATTGATTGCGAACTCTGTAATTTAAAAGCATACGAAACCGCGATGGAATGAATAAAGAGTGCTGGCGCGATATATATCGGTGAAACAGTGTATCGATACTTGGCGATACATTTCATTCCATAAAAAAGTGGGAATTTTTATAACATTTTATGACATGACAATTCTTTTCACTGAAATTGTTAGAACTTTTTAGTGGACGCTATCCACTTCTATCAACAATATCACCAAATATCACAGTTATAAAGTTATAAATTAATATTAAAGAAGCCTTGAAGATAAAATGTTAATTTTTATCCCATTACACCATATCGTGATATGTATCGTATAGCGATACTTGAATCGCGATACGTATCGTATCGTGGCATGATTGACGATACACAACACCAGAAGAAATGCATTGGGAATAAGACGCATTTTATATTGAGTAATTGGAAGAATTGTAATGGAACAGCTTATATTTATCGGCTTATAAAGGTTAAGGAAACAGAGAAAGATGTTATAAACAGATTTATTATCCTCGTTAAAAGCAAAGACAGGTTAGAAACAAAATGCTAGAATAGACGATGAGTCGACAAGATATAACATCATGCTTGAAAAAGTTTAGCTTTAATTGGAATTGCAAAAAATATCCATCGCTATCAATATACAAAAGACAAATACATTACCATATTTCAGAGTAACAAGAATTTCTATATCCGATGTGGGGACAAACTCATCCGTCCCGTACACTTGATATCACTCTGCATTTAGTAAATCTCAATTCGGGGTAAGTTTCGGAGAGTTTAGAAGAACAATAATGTTTGTTTACTAGATTTTTTTGTAACACAGTATGCGCTGTGCTTCTTTGAAAATCTGATTTATGTTGGACACATTACGTCCAATTTTGTGATAAAAACATTATCAATTAGATGGTTTGTGTATAGCAGTTCTTGGTGGAATATCAGGTGGTAGAGCATTAGCAAACATAGTAAACATATTCTACTGACGAAATTATAGAAGCTTCCCATCCCGACAGACTACCGGATATCATTCTAAATATATAGGATTTGGATACCGGATGCACATATTCTGGATTGTCAAGTTTCATAATGTGTTTGTCTGATTCAGTGTCAAGTTGTAATCTGATAGCAGAATTTCTTCCACTTTCAAATACAAATGTATATCAATTTCTATTGTTATTATCAGGTGTCTCTTAGCGAACATTTCCTGTTCGAATTCCTGTCTAGTTTCTAAGTAATAATTAATACGACCAAGAACTCTCTAGATTGATGTAGAGAATTGACGACTATAATCAACATCTAGTAGGTTTTCTTAAAGCTCTACTATGTGGATATTTTTTTTGTATAAAGTTATATTAGCCTCTGCACTTGGCGTACGTTAAATCTGCCATTGGGAAGAAATTTATTGGAGCGGCCTTACGACTTGCAGTCGGAATTTCAAAAACTACTGGTAAATGATATCTTGTTAAATATGATTTACCACTGGATTAACCGATTTGAGTTCACCAATGTCTGCATAATTGCAGTTTCCAACAGGTTCTACTTTCTAGCTTTCGAGATGAAGATCTGGGGCCTGGTTTTCGAAAGTATCGTAAGAAACGTCATAAGATATATCTAATGACAAATTTTATCTTATGACTATCATACGACATGTAATAGAATGTAAATAAAAGCTGTCTTACGATAGTCATACCTGAGATGCTCTTATAACTGTCATAACAGTGATAATATTTACTATAAAAAAAATTATAGGAAATGAAATTTATAGTTATTACTTACAAAATATATTATCAACATTAAATTTTATATGAAAATGAATTAAAATCGTAGTTTGATCATTTGTTTGAATTTAGTTTGTATATTTATTTGTTTGTTTATTTATTATCTTGCATGATGTGTTTGTTATCTAATTGTGAATACTTTTAAGATGTGAGACAAAATGCTTAACGAAATGCTCGTGCAAATACTTGTGAGAAAGTACTATATAAGGATAGAAATAATACATTTATATTTATTATACATAATAATGAGTAAGAGAAGAAGTCCGAATTTTACATCGCAGGAGATTCAAATTTTTATAGACGAAGTGGAGAAGAATAAGTCCTTACTTTTCAGCCGACACAGCAATGTAGTAACAAACAGTGCTACAAAGAAAACTTCCCCATATTTGAATAGCAAACTGCTTGAACATTAATAGAATGGTAGCTTTTTCTATTTACAAAAAGATGTTCATCCTCTGTTGGAGATTTTATACGATGTGTGTACCATCAATGGCACCGACTACACTTGGAAAGTCTGTTTTTTCATGAAAACCTCTCATGATGTTGCGAAGTCCAGCCTGGTCTCTATATATTCATTACAAACCCTCTTTAAACATGCAGTTACGTCACGTGCTATTTTAGATACACTTGGTCTAGATATGTTACGGACATCAGCATTGACCATCTGAAAGCTTCCAGTGACATAAAATCTGAGTGCAACCATGATTTGGAATGAAACTGGAAAGGCACGAGATCTTGCAGTTGGCCTTGCTAGGGATGTTTGGAACATTCTACATAAATCTAGCATCATTGGGCGTGAAAGTCTATATCTACATACTATTTGTTCATCATCCATGTAGTCTAGTGGGTTATTTCTGTCTCGAAATACTCTGTTTCGGCGTACGTTTTCAGCTTGTTGTCGAATGTAGATGTAAACAGCAGCCATATTCTTTTATTCACGTGATATCGAAGCTCTTATGATAATCATAAGTCCATCATAACTTTTGTGATAATCATAAGACCATCTTAAGACAGGTCGAGAGGTGTCTTAAGATTACGAAAACTTATCTTACGACTATGATATGTCGTAAGACCATCTTAAGACGTGTCTTAGTCGTAAGATACTTTCGAAAACCAGGCCCCAGGTCCTTAACCTTAACGCTTCTCGATAGGTCTGATGTGATACCATGAATCACCAATCCTCCTGATCCCGCCTCTGTACAAATACAACCCCTTTATGGTGTATATTTTCGGCAAAATGAATATATTTCATGTAATAATTGTATAGCCAACTCTTTTGTGTTAAAAATTGTTCAATCTTAGGGAAGATTGACAAAGGTGTTGAATGAAACTATTGAATGAAAGTCAAAATGATAAAAGCATGGTGTCAATACTGAGAAAAAACATGTTTTATTGATTATGCCTTTGTTTTGTATTCCGTTTGCTTCCATTTAAACAGTGTTGAAATATTTGTTATGTTAAGGTGTGCATGGAAAATTTATGTAATATTTTTTTCATCATCCTAAAACTGTGATAAAAAGCGTTTGAATGCCAAGAATTTTGTAAATTATTAATACTTGTTTCTTTTGTTATTCGTCGTTTACTGATATTCATATATCTTACTAGTCTGCCTCACATACCATGCAAATCTAAGTATTATTTTTGTACTGAAGATTCGGGTTTTTCATGTTATAGCACTAAAGATTCAGTTTTTTCGCTCTTTTGTTCTAAAGATTTAAGTTTTTTTAACATGACTTGTTCAGTAAGAAAATATAAAACGCTTCACAAAGAGGCCTTCAAACCATAATATAATCACAATATGATATATGGAGGATATCATAATATATCGATATATGATATGATCATAATATGATATATGGTGGATATGATAACATATCCATATGATATATGATATGATCATAATATGATATATGGTGGTTATGATAACATATCCATATGATATATGATATGATCATAGAATGATATATGGCGGATATGATAATATATCCATATGATATATGATATGATCATAATATGATATATGGTGGTTATGATAATATATCCATATGATATATGATATGATCATAATATGATATATGGTGGTTATGATAATATATCCATATGAAATATGATATAATCATAGAATGATATATGGCGGATATGATAGTATATCTATATGATCATATCATAATAGGAAATATGGCGGATATGATAATATATCTATATGATCATATCATAATAGGAAATATGGCGGATATGATAATATATCCATATGATGTATAATTTTCTGGACCTAACATATATTTTTTGTGTATTTTCAGGAAGGTTTTATATACAGATCTATACAAGAATGTCTTACCAAAGCTGAAATAGCTGAATTAAGGTAAATAATGACTTTGATTTACTTTGTTATCCAGATTATTATATAACGACGAACAGACCCGTAAAGGTGGAAATAGAAGAGGTACTGTGTCCGATGCGAATAACTGTGTGAGATTATCAATACAGTAGATAATATACGACGTTTAGATTCAACAATCCTGCACACCGCATTCCATCAATGCCTACTTAAGTACAAGTGACGTGTACGTACAGTAGATAATGGAAAACGTCGCATCGTATTCACGTCACGACAAGTACTTTTTGACACGTTTCAGCTCAGTCACTACGTTGTCTATTGTTTTTCAGTAAATTCTCACTCTTCCCCACCGACACATTTACTCTTTCCTTTAATGATTCTGGATTACGTCATCGAACTATGGGTGAAGAAGAGTTAATCTCTCTTGTTTCAGCCTGTGCTGACATACAACGTGAGTATTCTTTAGATGTATGAAACTAAGACTAACTGTCCACTCAATAAAACTTCTGCTACGTAGATATCCTTGCTGAACTGATCTCATATTTTTCGATCCAAAAATCTTAGATTTAGGCAAAAAATATTGCCAAATTTCTAATCCTTTACCAATGAGTTAAAGATGGGTTAGCTTATTTTTTAGAGTCAGTGTATTTTTTTGCTTAATATCCATGTATATATAGTCTGGAGAAACCAAAAACGACTTGTTGACCTTTCTTAATCGGTCACTCATTGGAATTCTGCTGGTAATTCTCTTCTTATTTAGCTAATTATGAATTAATTATGGACATTTGAGACAAACTGGTATTTTTTTAAGTCATTAGAACACCTTTACTGTCTATTCATATAAGTATTAGCATTTTCATTTTCATAAATGAAACTAAGGGAACCCAGCCTTAAGCATATGAAGAAATCCACTCAGTTTGGCTCGACCATAAGTTACTGGTTTTATGGCATTAACAATGTCATGGGTCAACAAAAATCTTGATGAAAACAAATTATTTAATTTTTTGCATATTTAAAATTTCCCAAAATTTATTTTAATTTTTTCACTGACCAATCTTTCATGTGGTCTAGTCAAAAGAATATAATACATAAGATCGTCCATCTTTTTTTTGCCAAATTTTTAACTATCTAGCTTTAGAAAAAATTGTATTTACTTTTTCAGAAACTGACATCGACACTTTTCTACGCACACTAGGAAGAGAGTATTTTAAACTGGTAGAGGAAGAATATGGAAAATGTTTACGGATGTTAGGAAGTAATATGATTGAATTGTTCAGTAATTTGGATGGATTACAGACACTCTTAAAATCATCTCCCAAATTTGAAGGCGTCCATACACCATCTTTCCGTTGTGAATTTGACAAGAACAAAATACAAATTCATTATTACTCTCCGCACAGGAAACCTTTGGAATTTGTGGCGGGAATTTTAGAATCTGTGGCAAAAGTGTTATTTTCTCTGGAATTTGAAATGCAAGTATCTGGTAGTTTAACAGAAACGTCACAACATCATATCTTCTATATTACAACGTATGTTAATAATAATAATAATCACTGTAGCACGTGTTCAATATCCGACACACTTTCCAGCGATCCGTCCAAATCAAAAATCGGCGTTTCAACCTTCTGCAATTCCTTTCCATTTCATTTGATTTTTGACAAAGATTTGAACATTATACAACTGGGATCAGCCTTGTTAAAAATGATTGGTCCCCATGTTCCCACACATGGCAGACATATACAGGATTACTTTATAATTATACGACCACATGTTAAAATTAGTTTCTCGGCCATCTTGTCCAGAGTCAACTCCAACTTTGTTCTTCGTACCAAAACAGCTGCATTGAGCTCCACCAATTCTGTTCAGGTTAGTAAAGGCTTATTTGTTTTGCTCGAAACTTAAATTTGGTGGAAAATTGGTAGACGTACCTTTGGATAAAATTAGCTTCGTCTTCAGAAGCAAGTCTAAAGAATGCTTTGAAAAAAAATAAGCTTCGTCTTCCGAAGCATGTCTTAAGAATGTTTTGAAAATATTAGCTTCCTCTTTAGAAGCAGGTCTTAAGAATGCTTTGAAAACATTAGCTTCGTCTTCAGAAACAGATCTAATGAATGCTTTGAAAACATTAGCTTCGTCTTCAGAAGCAGGTCTTAAGAATGTTTTGAAAACATTAGCTTCGTCTTCAGAAGCGGGTCTTAAGAATGTTTTTGGAAACATTAGCTTCGTCTTCAGAAGCAGGTCTTAAGAATGTTTTTGGAAACATTAGCTTCGTCTTCAGAAGCAGGTCTTAAGAATGTTTTGGAAACATTAGCTTCGTCTTCAGAAGCAGGTCTTAAGAATGTTTTTGGAAACATTAGCTTCGTCTTCGGAAAAATATTAGTTTCGTCTTCAGAAGCAGGTCCAAAGAATCATTGGAAAGATATTAGCTTTGTCTTCAGAAGCAGGTCTTAAGAATGCTTGGAAAATATTAGCTTCGTTGTCAGAAGCAGGTCTAACGAATCCTTGGAACTTGGAATGCTTGGAAATTTATTAGCTTCCTCTTCAGAAGCAGGGTCTAAAGATGGCTGTTCAAATAATATGATCTGTAGTGACTCTTGCAACAGAGATCCACTAAAAATATGAAGTGGTTCATTTATATCCATTGACCAAACTCCCCAGTTCATCTGGAAAGTCCAGTAACTCAAACCACTATTTTTTATTCCTTCAGGATATGGAATTAAAGGGTCAAATGTTTTATTTACAAGAGAACAATACCATATTATATATAGGATCCCCTAGTGTGGAGAAACTGGATGAACTGATTGGTAAAGGGATTTATATCTCTGATATACCTATACATGACGCTACCAGAGATGTTATATTAGTTGGTGAACAAACCAAAGCTCAGGTAAGACACTTTGGACATTATTGAAGGGAAAATGAAGGGGTGGGAAGATGTGAATCATGACATTAAGTGTGTAGTGTAAAAAAATATCATAAATCATTTTTTTTAAATTTGAAGTAAACAATGACCGCCATCATACTGTTGTATTATAGTTCCACGCCACCATCCAAACAACATCAGTATTTTATATTAACAACGCTAATTTCTGGTTTGTTTGATTCCAATTTGGTTGAACCTGTTATCTTTGCAATTCGATTCATTTTGATGTGTACTTTTATAATCCTTATCCTGGTAGCCATTGACTTTATAGAATTTAAATAAATAGCACACAATTCAAAATAGCTAGATCTAATGGAGACAGATATATTCCATGCATATTTGATATTTATTTAAGATTAGTAAACAATATATTTATTGTTAGTTTTAGAATTATGGTTTATAGATACACACCAGTGTTCCATAGATTTACTTTGATTTATTGTTTGAAACGCAGTGAGTCTGTACGGTATACAGTGGGTATTTGTGAGTAGAATTGTATAGTCAGTTGAGGTAATGAGGTAGCCAGTCTGTACAAGTGAATATAGTGGGCATTTGTGAGTAGAATTGTATACAGTCAGTTGAGGTAGAGTTGTACCTAGTGGTACCCAGTCTGTACAAGTAAAAATATTGGGTAGTAGGTTGTTGTGAGTAAAATTGTATACAGTGATTTGTGGTACCCAGTCAAAAAGTGAATACAGTAGGTAGTTGTGGGTAGAATTGTATCTAGTGATTTGTGGTACCCAGTCAACAAGTGAATACATTAGGTAGTAGTGAGTAGAATTGTATACTGTTATTTGTGGTACCCAGTAAACAAGTTATTACAGTAGATAGTTGTGAGTAGAATTGTATCCAATAGCGTTGCTTTTTTATATCATTTATCAAGTGCAAATAGTGGATATTTGTGAGTAGAAATTATATGCAGTGAGTTGAAGTAGGGTTGTATATTTATTGAAGATGTCGACAGATTTAATATCGTCAATATTCTGTATTTACACAGCTCTTTATTCGGGCAGTTGTTAAGTGACATTAAATAATAGAATATGTTGGTATCAGTCTTTCAATAGTCAGTAAGTCGGTCAGTAATAGCAGTGTTTATCGGCCAAAACGAAATCTAAATTGAATTGTTGATAAATGAAACGGGAAGTTTGCGTTTTCTGCTCATCACTATTAAAATCGAAAATGCCTTACATAGTGCAACAGGAAATCTGTAGCGTAAGCATATTCACTAAATTGAATTCATAAATGAATTAAAATTGACGGGAAGATAATGATACGTAGGTTTATGTAATTCTTTTCTGCTCGTGATAATTGAATGGACAGCACCCGATATTGTGCAATAAGGCATTTTGTATTACTATATGACTCCGCATTAGCATATTGTTCAACTTTTTTTTCTTACCTCATTCCTTAACTCATGTCAAAACATAATACATGTCAATTGAAATTTTAAAGGCTTTTGTCTTTTTTGCTCATGCTGGGTTAATGAAGATGATCAGTGAAGGATATTTTACGAGGACAATGGCATTAGCTTAATCTTTTTTCGATATCCAACTCAACTCTCCAGGGATTTCATGGTACATGTAGTACACGGGCTTCAGTTTACATTTCTCTTATGGGAACTCCGGGCTTCCAGATCAGCAAACAACATATTGTGCCATCGTGTCTATTGTAAAGACGAAGGTTTTTAGTGAAAATGATAAACGACCATTCAGGGAGTTGTTAGATGTTTTACGGTCATTTAAACTGCATTGCTATCACATATTTCTCACACATGCTGAAATTAAGTTGCAGAAAGTAAACTACATCACGGGAAGTTATTAAACAAACTTTGTCATCTAGTCTATTATCTGAGCTAGTTGGCTTTACTTTAATCTCATAAAAACATAAGTCAATTTACTCAAAGAAAATAGTCTCTTGAAACTTCACTTATTTTCGATAGGGATTAATCATTGAAGACAAAACGACTCCATTTAAGTGTTCTGCACGCTGCAATATGAGATAGGGCGTTTACATACCAGACTAATAATATTCATGTTGGTTGATGAAGGAATTAAACATGAATTGCTTTCTCTTGTGCTGACTGTCCCAAAATGATGCGCATATGTGGGTTGAATGTGTGAAAATGTTCATTCAGCGTAGAACATTCATTCAGCCTGATACGTCCAAGTCTACAATATATTTTTTTGTTTTTATTAAATGTTTCATAATTATATGTTATATTAATAACATTATGTTCAATAAACAAGCAAAATCGGTCGCTGTTTATGCTCAAACCCAAATGTGTATTGTCATTCGGGGATCAGGAGGGGACATACTAGAGAATTCATACTGGCTACGTCCGACACAACACGGCACAACGTCCTCCGACACGACAAATCGAAATAGAAAAATCTTCCACAAAACGTATCACCTATATATATGACGTTATCACGTTTGAAGATAATATACTGCAGTAATATTTTATTATTCCACCATTTTGACAGTCAATGGGTCGTGTCGTATTGTGTCTTGTCGTACCACGTCATGTCGGATCTGGTGAATAAACGCCTTTAGTCCCGAACATACAGAATATAATCCGGACTATGATAGTTGTTCTTGACATAGTCGTGTGGACACAGCTATAACATAGTTGTCAAGGAGAATCAGATTTATAGAAAATCAAATTTCCATGATTCTTAAGGATTAAGATTTAAGTATATAAGAATCTTATTAATATAAGTATTAATTCCCGGCCGCTATAATTTCAATTCATCTCATGTAGCCTCATGTTAATTAATTAATTAATTTGTGAGAGCATTTCTCCCTTGCTTTCTATCACTTTCTGTTTTGATTTCTTCAATTTTTCGTTCTTGTTTCTAAAATATTTGATCTTCACTCTGTTTTCTCCTTATTCCTAATTGTTCTTTTTCATCTTGTTTTAGGCTTCATTTCTCGCTTTTTTGTGCTGATTTCTTTAAGTTTGCTTCCCTCAATCTGCTTTTAGGTGCATTTCGAGGCATATTACACTATCGGACTAAGTCTAGTCTAATATGTCTCGGAATGTACCTATTGTTCGCGTCACATTATCCCGTCGCTAGAAAGGACAGTCACGTAATTGGTTAAAACAGAAGTCAAGCAAAGGTTAACAGTATGAAGAGTCAAGAAGGACAGTGTTAGACCTTACTGTAGTGGTTACGTACAAAGCTAATAGCTAATAAAACATTCGAAATGAAACTAATAAAATACGAACGCAAGTTTGATCTAATTTTAATTAGACTGAATAAGGTTACTTTTTCTTTTTGCATACTTTTAGTCTTCTTTTGTTGTCTATTTTCTCAGTTTTCCCTTCTGCTCTTGGTAATAACTCCCATAGTCGCTTCCCTCGAAGTCGAAAACTGAAGGCTTATGCCACTGTCCTGGCAAAATATTCCCTCACTGCACACTGCATGGTCTTCATTAGCTAAATTAGGTGTAGAAAAGTAGTATGTAAAACTCCATTCATCTGGAAACAATTGATATATAGCAGATAACAGGCCGCTTTGAATCGAGCGTTTTACATAATCTCTTCTTTCCCTATTATTTATTCCGCTCTCGACAGTTTCATGTCTTTTCTTTCCGATACAGTACTTAAAGAATAAAAGCTGGAACTACTTCAGTACGCCTAAGATCTTGAAAGCCACTTTACTAGGAACACTGCGCAGTCGACAATTCTACTCGCGTTAATGCCAGAAAAAATCTTTATAAATCAATTTGCTTTGTATTTAGCACTAGCTTTACCTTTTTCGCTTCCCGAGGCAGTCTAGACAATAAGTAGATAAATTTTCAAATAAAAATTCTTGGCTTCCAATTTAAAATCAATCAGAATAAATCTCATCTGCAGATCGAGTAATCAACGTCGATTCAAAACATTATAAACTAGTTTCAAATTTACCTCTAGACTGCAATAACCTTTTTATTTCACGCACTTGTATCTAAATCACAAATGTTAAAATGCAGTAAATTTGATATAAAATTTGGATTCTGGCAAATCACTTTAGACAAGTATGCGGATTGGAAAGAGTAAAATCTAATTACAAAGCTATAAAATAAACATGAAGCGAAGTTCTCTCTTCTCATTTAATTGCTAATTTTTAATTTCTTCCTAGTAATTTAACTGATAAACTTTATGTGTGTAACAGCTCAAGGATATTTGAGCATAAAAAGAATATCTGTCTGAAATATCTGTACCACTCGCGACCTGTAGGCCTACATTTGGGAAAAATCAATCCATTGCGGAAGAGTAAACTTTTCAATGATCGACATTACGCGTTTTTTTGGTCAACGTATCCCAATACGCCCCTCCCGAATTTGAGCTACGCGTGTCCTTTGAATAATTGTAAGGCAATAAATATAACAAATTGCAAGATATTTTTTTTATGGTATGGAAGTTAGTATAATTATATCAATCTTGTTTGTCCGTTAGAATATATAAAGGAAAGGGGATTTCCGGTATGGACAGACAAGAATCTACGGAATTGCTGTCTACTATCTGATATACCAATCGTTGATACATTAATAAACAATTCCCTCGTAAACAAATAACATCTAAACATTAGTTAGGTAAATTCCATTTACCAGACCGGAAGTGTTTTATCTTCAAGTTAATGACCGGAAATGACGTAAATAATGCAATAAAAACATTATTTACTATCGTAATGTCGATTATCTGACGAGTGGTTATGAAACCATTCGACACTCTTGTCTCTGACAGACAGTCACGAGTCTTATTTCCTTACTGTGGAAACTCATCCATATAACTTCATTATATTCGGGAAATAACTACACACTTTTTACTTATGGCCACCCTATACGATTTCCCAAAACACATTGAGATTGTGAATGATAATTATTATAGACACACAAAATTTCCAATCTTTGGCCACATCAATGTTTGACAATAGTTATCTAAACTATTTGCTACTCGTCATGGTGGCATGCACAATTTGTATTCGGTTGGCAATTCGCTAATTTTGAGCAGGTCACCAACATTGGATAAACCATTTTGGTCACCTGTTGGCAGTTCACCAAAAATACACAAAACGTTTTTTAACTTTTGCGTTCCCAAGTTTGGTAAATCTGTTGACGTCACCGATTGTTGTAAATCATATTGAAACGTGTTGGCAGCTCACCAAAAAACAATCACCAAGCCGTTTTGTAACCTGATAGCGTCACCAAACCATTTGTATCCAGTTGACATGCCACAAATTTTGGATAATTCTATTGCTGTCTTAATTGTGGCAAGTCACAAACCTCTATTTGACCACTTCGTAACCTGTTGACAATTTGAATAACCCTTTTGGCATCACACCAGTTTTCAATGTGATTAAACCAATCATTGAAATTCCCTAATATATCACGTTGATAACTAGCCAGTTTTTTATAACATGTTTCTACTCTTACCACCTTTTCAAATTGTGACACGCCCATGTGCTTAAAATACATTTTTTTTTAAAGGATATTATTGTATAAAAAATGTATTGAGCTTATTTGTTACTTTTTCAATACCAAAGCAACAAAAATCACATCACTTAATAAAGATTTAAAGAAACTAATAAATAAATCAAAGTTGACAGCTATCAATCATCTTGACAAATACTCCACCCATTCTATTGGTGCATTCTGGTCTATTTTGAATTATAATCTGCTTTTATTGCAAGCACGAAAGAAAGGAATTGCAATTACGTGATCCATCATGTTGTAGCTTTAAAAATAATTCAAACAGTAAAGCTTCACAAATACGCGGGATTTAACGTTATTTTACGGTACTCAGATTAACCAAGAATACCACTTCCGGTTAAGAGCTAACTATGATAAAATGTCACGGAAGATATGATCGTTGTCAAATAAACCACATAATAGTTTGCGATCAAAGTATGTCTAGCTAATGTTTTTGTGATTCGATGTTGGCCTAATTTTCTTATTAGCACAGTTTTCGCGTTGGGTTCGAAAACTAATTACTTGGAAGAAACACATGTAACCTTTTCTTTACTTCAAATGTATTGATGTTTCAATAAAAGTGTATTTTGCATTGGGCAGACAGTTGTCGCTCATATCAAGAAATTCGCCACTACAAGCAACTGCGTATTAGATTCAGACCAATGATCATTCTGACCACAGAACACTGCTCTAGTTAAACACGGTGGGTCGTATTCTGAACGTAGCAAATAGGCACCTGCTGATTTCTTAGGCGTCCGATTGCTCGGGTCTACTAATTCCAAAGATCAATCAGATTCTCTCAGATGCCACCAGTTGATATAGTCGTTGAAAATCCAGATGCTCCCAAATTCTGTCAGTACTATTATTGGCCTGAGAAACTGTTCATATAATACAATGGTTATTGATAGGATTTAAACAAGTTTTCTTACTTCAGCAATATCTTGTCAATGTATTTGTATTGTGTCAGATATGCCAGATATGTTGACAATGTGTTATAAATTCGTGAATAGTAATATAATCTGATCAAATCAAGTTAACCATTTAAAGGGATTGTAAAGAGGTTTTCAAAATTTTATATGTGTATGCATGGGGGATACTGATAGCATCAGTTTGCATCATTCCAGTTTTCAGGTTTAGTAGAATTGCTAGAACCACAAAGTGATTGGAATTTGGAATGGTACAAATTGATGCTATCAAAGTCCCCCTTACACAGTAAATAGTCTTCAGAAGTACTAGAAATGTGTGAAAACAATTCCTTCAAAAATATCTCAAACTAGTAATTTAACCCACAATTTCTGTATTCCTCTTTTCTATAGAGTGTACCTTATATAACGAGTCGTCATTTTAAAATTTAAACGCGGATAATTCTGGACACACATGGATTTGAAGGCTCAATTTGGACGGTGAGATGTGAACTAAATTACTGATTAGTTCTGATAAAAATTGGTCAAAAACAATGGCGCACCAGTCCCTTTACATTTTGCATTGAAAATGAGCTGTTGGGATTATCACTCGATAAAATGATGGTTAACACATTTGAGAGAAAATATTTTATAATCTTATATTGTTCGATTCCATACGCAGCAAAAGCTTGAAAATTCAATCTTGAAATTCATTTGATCTACTTGAGTACATGTTACTTCGATTCAGATTAGGAAACTAGCTTTACTTGGGTCGTTTTTTACACGATTATTCTTAATTTTGTATTCTATCAGTCAACTTTGAATCTTCATGTGTTGGTCGTATATGATTTTCGAAAGATTTTCTTTCACCCGAAGCACTTTAAGAGTGTTCTGTTAAATGACTGCTCGAACCTGTATTATCAGTTAGTAGATAGGCAAGTTTTCCACAGTACCCAAGATCATTTGTCCAGATGGTGATTATGCACACGAAACACATTGTTGGGAGCATGAGATAAGCTGAGGTCAATTTTTAGTAAAATATCTTTCCTCATAGAACCCCTTATGACCCTGAATAATATTCTCTGTTTGTTTGGCGATTCATCATCACGAGATTTTGTTACTTTCAGGACGGATTAAAGAAACGAATGGAGCAATTGAAACTCAGTATAGAAGAAGCTACTAAAGCTGTAGAAATTGAAAAACAAAAGAATGTCGAGTTGTTGAAGAATATATTTCCCAGTGATATTGCTCAACGATTATGGCGAGGTAAGACCAATTTTAGTTTTCCGTTCACAAGTTCATCATGTAGCCACCAACTCGTCTTCACAATCTTAAAGGATTACGATCTCCGTCGAATACCTTGATATATCATTAGACACTTTTTATGTTTTCGCTAGAGTAATAATAAAAAACGAAACCCTAAATCCAAAACAACATTTGGGCAAAACATTGGTAACAGCTAATGAACGTTTCACATGAGGAAGTATTTCAACCATAAGTGAGTAAGTATTTTATAATGAAACGTGGTAACAGGTGTCTAGAGGAGTTAACAGTACAAATCCAACCCAAACTGCATTTACAATCTTCTGTGATACAAGAAAAGTAATATACTTCGAATTTTCGCCGCGTTCAAAAGTCTCTATTTGTTTTGTTTTGTCATAGTATGTATAATTCACATTAATGGTGTTTCTCGCATAACTGCACAAGCTTCTCAAAGGACAATGACTTCTTTTGTCAAGTTCAGTTTATCAGCAAATTGTGGTCAAGCTCAACGAGTGAATATCTGGAGAATCTTGACTAAGAAAGAGTGCACGGACCTCGAGTTGCTTGGTTAAATATTGACACATCGTTTTGTCTCTCGATTCCTGTCTGTAGGTGAAATGAGGCCATAAAGTGCCAAAGGAATAGTTGTTCATCCAGTATGAATATGTAATCTATATCTCTTGTACCATATTGTGTAAAATGCGAGATTTGACTAGCCCGTACTTGTGTACAGGTTTATTGATTGATGTACAAATAACACTTTAACAGCTGTACAAGGTATTGACGTAAGCTGCCTTGTCAGATCCGGGTCGGCGCCCCAACTCGTAAATCACGATCCCACTTTCAAATTGTTCTTGGTAACAAAAATCTACCCGAAAAGGATTGTGAAGTGACTGCAATCATAACTGACTTAACAAAAGGGGACGGGGGCGGATGCCAGGGGTTTTTTTCCCCCCCCCCCCCCCCTCGCAGCCCCGAATGCATGATTTTCGGGCAAAAATCTCATAAGTATTTTAGAAATTCGGGCAACCTCAGGTATCCCCCCCCCCTCTCCCGGACGTTAAACTGACTCCGCCACTGGGACAATGTCCGTCTAAGGAATCACCAGATTTAGACGAGGAAAGTTTGAAATAATGCCATTACGTTGTGGAGGCTATTTCATATCTTTGTTCAAGTCTGATCAATTTTTAATAGTTGAGATAAGATTGGTGAAGGTATTTCAATGCCCTTTATACATTACAACTGTCCGGAAAGAAACTGTAAATTAATTCAATGATATGATATACAAATAAACCCTGTGTATACCACCTTAGCTCTAACAAGGAAAAAAACATAGTATACCCCTTCAAGCAAAGCATGTCGTTGCTAAGCAAAACATAAATGTTAATTTTGCGAGCTGTCTTATTAGGTGTGCTCAACTCTCCTTATCCACAATTAGATCTTTGTGCATTTGAAAGACATCACAAATGACCTGATGACCTTTGGTTTAAGTAAGCAGAAGGTAATATTGACTTCTGGGTCATTTGATCAACCATTTTGTGAAGGAAACGTGATTATAATGCCTTCATTTTCTATGGTTTCTAGTGTTGTATGCCTATATATATATATACCTTAGAAATCAATATTTCTTTTAGCCATACTTGAGTTTGATTCATGACCTGTACATATACCATGCCCATTAATCTTATAGTTCAATCTTGTAACCTAAATATGAGGTTGTACAATCAACGACGAAGAAAAAAATCGGCGACAAGTATCAAACTTATTTGATATAATCTTGTCGTAGAAGCGCGGGCACACGAGAGATTTTAATCAAAATTCGACCAAAAACGTTCGTGTGCCCGCAGCATTAGCGGGACAAAATCCACAAAAGCAAGTGCCAAGCTCATTATACTACCAAGGTTTCTTCAGGAAATCGTAGGATTTGCACCTTTGGCTTGAATGGTAGTATTGTTGTGTCATAGACAGGTTTTGATTGACGTGCAGGAAGCACAGACGTCTGAAATAATATATAGTTGATGCATTTTCAACAAGCAAACCTCCACTTTAAACGGGTGGCTACAAATTTAGCATGGCCATAAGTCGACAACTGAATCTAGAACAACCATGATCTAATATGTCAGTGTCTAGAAAAACCTGGAGCGAACGTTTTTTATTTCAGAAAATAAATGCAGACTAGTGCTGTAATTAAGAGGTTTGGATCATTACTTTGCCCTGAAAATGAATAAATTAAAGAATTGTGATAGAGAAATGATTAGGGTTGTCATTTACTTCCTGTCAGACAATTAGGACTCTTGACTCTTTTACTTCATTTGTCTTCATTATTTCTTACCATTCAATTTGGGAAAATTACTCTCAACACAATAAATCAATTAAAATATTCCAACAAACTTAACTGAAGGGATATTAATTGTGGTTCGCCATGTTAGCTCTTGAAGCCATCTTGGTTTACCACTTTTGCTTTACTGCCAAGGTAATTAATCTCTTCAACTGTCATATGTGACGATTGTATTATGATTTAGTGGTAATTATGATCTGTAGAGACCTTTGGGTCAAATATATTGGTAAACTAGCAATCAGAATAAGGCAAATAATTCTTCCTCCGAACGCAGTGTACAATTAGGACATTTTTTCCGAGAAAGTGGCATTGACGCACTTCGATTTCATATTGTGTAGATCGAGTTGTTTTGATTCATGTGATGCAAAAAGTAAATTAAATAGCGTATTAGTATTACGTCTTACATTTTTTGTATTTTGCTCATAAAGTGATCAATGCCTTGAAAATATGTAAAATAGTCTGTAGAAGTACTATAAGACATGTACGAAAATCGCATAATTCCTTCAAAACTAGTTCAAACTTGGAAATTTACTCACTATTTCTATATTTGTCTGTTCTGTATATCACAGAGTATCTTAAATTGACGAGTCGTCATTTTAACATTCAAACGCAGATAATTCTTGATATACATGGATTTGAAGGCTTAAATTTCGACGGTGAGCTGTGAACACTATTACTGATTGACTTTGCTAAATCAATTCTAGTTTCTGAGACTAAAGTATGATTTGTAAAAAAAATGGCCTACCTCTCCGCTTAAACGAGGCACATTACACATGATGCATCATATCATGTTTTGAACATATTAAAAGTAAATGCATGAAAATATACAGTATAATATGCTAAGGAAGTGGTTATATAAATCGAAAGAATCTTAACACTTTGTAGCTGGTCAAGTGCGATAATTCAACAATAGTTCATAAAAATATGACTGAAATTGAAATCTGTCAATATCTCAATACTTCGTCGAGTATTTGTTCGCAAAGTTAGGTAAAAAAAAAAACCAAGGCAAGATGAAACCACTACTTAATCGAGGTCAAAAGGAAACCAAGCGTTTGTTAAACTTAATTCTTTAAATACCCATTGCGCTTTGACATTTCGGTCGAATAGAATAGAAAAGAATATACGAATCGCAGCCATGGAAAGATCGATCAAAGCAACCTATAATTTGGAGTGTTGTGATTACCACAAATTGCCTTGATTTTCTCCTTCTGAAGACAAGTTCGACCAGGAACCATTCAATTTGATTCAAATCAGTCTCCAACCCGAGGTTATATGTTATTGCCAGCAACAACGATTTGCTGACCTCGAATTCGATTACGATGGCCGTAGAGAAATATCATGAGTACCATGATGAAAAGATATTGACTTAAAAACCCATTCAAGCTGAGAATAATACTAAGAGAAATTGAGAAAGGAATTTATCTCGTTTTTTTTTCAATTTCGGGGAAGGGAAGTTTTGATTCCCCCAAATGTACAGGATGTTCTAAATTGGAATATGTGGTTTGGATCGCATTTCATTGGACTACTAATGCAGGGTGCTATGAGGGTAATTATGCCAAGGATATCGTTTAGGCGGAACATTTCCCATTACTCGCCAATCACAAGTCATTGCAACATGCCTGACATTGCCGGGTCTTCATTAGTCAAAAAAAGAGCAGAGGCTATTTATTTCATTACATTCGAGCAAGAGTCATATAAATTTACTGTTTTCTCCAGCAGAGTATTATATGAAAGCCTCGGGCTCTTAAACCATCGGACATTTAACTAACAAAGGCTGATCCTAGCTTCTCCTCCCTCTTAGAAATTCCTTTGACTGTTTACAAGATAATGGATGCCTTTTTATAAGAACTGAAAAGAAAGGAAAAAAATCCAATATACGTCTAATTATGACAGCTATCAATACAACGTGAAAGAGAAACGAGAGTAAACGACAAAAGAACCCCGCGGTGGTCTCATAGTCTTCTGCTAGCTGCTAAAAGAGTGTACCAATATTTGCTGAAATTGATGTCTTTCAGCAACTGACAACCCTGAAGCAAATTGTCCATTAGATGAATTAAATTACTTCGTTTACTATGAAATCCCTTGAGTTGTTTTAATTTACCATCCTTAAACAAATATCACTCCATTTTACTCATGATTTAATCCATTAATATGACGACCTCGACAATACCACTGGGGTTATAATGACTATAATGCAAGTATTAAGAATTCGAGTTATGAACACCTTCGTATCACGAAGCCATAAATATGTCACTGCCATTTTGAATGAGATGACTGTTTAACTATAATTAAATCTACTTTTATGATCTGATTAAGATAACATAGGCCACAAGGTTTCTCCGTTAAGACTTTCAGAGTTGTCATACTCAGTACAGTGGCATTTGGTGTTTCTTAAGTACAGATTGGAGAAGTCAATCCTTCTTTCTCCATTATTGGACCGGTTTGTTCAGTCAGTCCATAATTGGAAAGCGATAACTCACAATTTCTCAAATTGAAGATTTATTGTTTTCTACTGTCTGCATTAACGCATGATATAGTAAATAGATATACCCGGATCATAAAGTGGGGGTTTCTAGCTTTTTATTTATGCATTAATTAGTCTATCTTAATGCTTCCATAGTTTCACTTTTACACATAAGAATGCTCGACACTTAACACAGGTGTGCCATTTGTTTTGGGGGGTTGATTTTTGTCTTGAATGGTTGTACATAGTCTTCAGAAGTACTAGACATGTACGCAAATCACATAATTTCTTTAAAAATACTTCAAACTAGGAATTTCTATATATCACAGAATATCTTAAATTTTAACATTTAAACACAGATAACTCTATGCACACATGGATAGAAAGGCCGAAAATTCGATTAGCTCAGCTAAAAAATTCCAGTTTCTGCGACTAAAGTATGATTGGTCAAAACAAAAAATGGCCTACCTGTACCATTTACTGCACTCTGATTGTAACAATTTGTCTTAGATTTGGTTTTTCTCCATTTTAGATGAAACTGTCGAGCCAAGAAAGATTGATGATGTGACGGTACTATTCAGTGATATAGTTGGATTTACTGCTATCTGTTCTTCCTGTACTCCGATGCAAGTCGTCAATATGTTGAATTCTCTCTACACCCATTTTGATAATTCCTGTGGTATAATTGATGTTTATAAGGTAAGAAGAATTTTGTCTTCAAATTACTTTAAAGGACCAGTCATGTATCAACTCTGTAATATTGTTTTAAGCAGCAGTGTGCCTTCTTGGTGACTACTTGCGTTAATCTCTACATATGTTGGGGCCTTCAGCAAGAACAGTGATGGAAGAATGTATCATGAAAGTGGTTTTAGGTCATGTCAGTCATGACCAGTCATGTATCAACCCTGTAATATTGTTTTGAACAGCAGTGTGCCTTCTTGTTGACTGCTTACGTTAATCTCTACATATGTTGGGGCCTTCAGCAAGAACAGTGATGGAAGAATGTATCATGAAAGTGGTTTTAGGTCAACTGGCGATTCTAAGAAAGCCAACGAATTCGTCGTATTAGACATAAGCGAAATGCTGATATCGAGAAATTACTGGTCACATCACTGTTATGGTCTACAATAAGCTCAAGGTCAGTCATGACCAGTCATGTATCAACCCTGTAATATTGTTTTGAACAGCAGTGTGCCTTCTTGTTGACTGCTTACGTTAATCTCTACATATGTTGGGGCCTTCAGCAAGAACAGTGATGGAAGAATGTATCATGAAAGTGGTTTTAGGTCAACTGGCGATTCTAAGAAAGCCAACGAATTCGTCGTATTAGACATAAGCGAAATGCTGATATCGAGAAATTACTGGTCACATCACTGTTATGGTCTACAATAAGCTCAATTTCTTTGCTAAAAGCTAAATAACATGAGCACAGATTGACAAATGTAAATGTGGACTATTGGCAAAGAAAAGCCGGGTTCCTTCAAAGACAAATAAGCAAATTGCGATTTACCGACAACAGATTCAAAGTTACATGTGTACAAATGCAAGATATGTAACCTTTCACAATGTTGATCTTGCGTGAATATGAATATCCTGATTGTTGTTAGATGTAACGATAATGGTCATAATGAATATATTTGTGAGTTGTGAGGGTTATAAATACACTATCATAAGTGCATGTTGATATGGACACATTCGGAGAGCTTCGTGCTTCTTGGAGAGAATTTTCCTCTACGTTTCTCAAAGGTTATTCAGCTCTTTTTGTAAAATTTTTTTCATTATCAAAAACGTCGTAATCTGAGAGTACTAATTGTTAATTAAGCAGTTTGACCTAGTTTCGGTGATTGGCTCGTTATATTTAGTTGAAATCTATAGAAAACGTAGGGGAAACAAATCCGTACAGTAGTTTTCAAACAGCTTGCAAAAAGCATAACGAACTTTAAAAGGTTATGTCACCTTTTACATAAAGTTTTGGCATTAGAAAATTAACGGCTGGATTTTTAAAGTTAGTTATGGGATACAATTCTATTGGATTTGGTTTTCACAAATTTAGGGAAAAAAAATTCGACCTACAAAAAAGCGGTGTGTTCCTTTAAGGAATGTCTGGCTTTCAGTTACGATATGCATAGGATTATTAGAAATGCATATATCTTGACATCTTGCGGACCTCTTTCTATCTGTTACAATTGAATTGTAAAGTATAATATATGATATGTTGATGCTTTTTTCTATATTTTTAACAAAGAAAACAATATAAATTCATATGAATGTGTCTATATCGCTCTAGAATTGATGTATTGACATTGTATTTAACAGGGTAAATATAACAATGTAAACATGGATGCTTGAAAGTTGTAATAGATCCTATGATTGAAAAATGTATGGTTGAATCTGACGGCAATGGTTTAAAAATAACATATTTATTTTACGCTTGAGGCCATTGATTTTGAACCTAATCATTGAATATAATTTCGATTCACAAAAGACAAAATTGAAGTTCATTGTGTTCAAATCAATTTTAATCAGATTTTTATCGATTGGTTTAAAGTCACTGATTTACTTCGTGGTTTTTGTTTTGTTTAAGCTGATATCTTTTTGGTCGTATTTCTTGAGACCTTTTGAACCTTGAACATTCCAGTGCATTATAGAGCCGGAACGACAAATTTTGATTCAGTTTAACAATATCAAGACTTCTATTGTTAGTATGCGATGTGCGGTTCGATATCGACAAGGACCACTGTATACATTTGTTACATGTTAATATGCCTAGCTCATGGTTGGTAGTTGGTGTGATCTAAAACATTTTGCTCTCGACTCGATGGATAGTTTCCATTTTGCTCTTATTGTGTTATTGATAACGGGTATTGCAGTGCACAGTGACAGAAATTGTGTAAAGACACTATGTAGCACACGGTGTATGAATGACGAGGGCTTTTTTCCATATCAGCCAATTGGAACATCATCACTGACGAGAAAAATGGATTAAAAAAACTCCAAAGATTTTATATGATCTATGCAGGAACCGAAGCCCAGGTCAGCGAACAAGTGTCTTAATTCGAACTACTTGTAATCAACTGTATGCATGATTACATTTCATGAACACCCGAAGCCACTACTTGTGTTCGCCAACTCGACCACATGAAGAGGTCAATATCAGTTCAATATGCAATTTAGTGATGCGAATATTGCTAGAAGCTAATGAATAATACAGTCATGTATTGTTACTTATTTCTCACTCTCAATGGTCCAGCATATACAAGCTTTTTGTTCACATTGAGAAACTAATTTGGGTTTCTGCCATGCAAATGGTATAATTGTACCATATACTGCAGTTGGTTGCACCTTGTTTCGAAAACAATCAGATTTTCAAAACTTCCTCATTTACACAATAATAAATGTTAGTCTTGCGCTCTTGCTTTATCCTGGTTTCTCTTCGACGGTGAGACAATGTGCAAATTCACAATCGGCGACGATATTTTTGGTTGAGTTTATAACACATGAAATGATTATTGGCACATACGTTTGATTGTAGTTCCCAAACGACACTGTTATTACATTTTAATGACGTAGAATTTGAATGATGAATTAGATTTTAATGATTATTGAAAGATTAAAGTAAAGTAATGATGTATGTGCTATTGGTGCCGACGCGTATAAAACATTTCATTTATTATATCATATCAATTTTAAAGACATAAATCGGTTTGTCCACTGGATACATTAGAGAAGTTTTGAATTTAAGAGGCAGATTCGCCATTTTTTTTCTTGACCAATCATACTTTAGTCTCAGAAACGGGATTTAATTTTTTTTTAGCTAATCCAATTAGTTATAGTAAGCACAGTTCACCGTCAAAATTTGAGCCTTTAATAAATCTATGTGTGCCCAGAATTATCCACGTTCGATTGTTGAAATGACGACTCGTCAATTTAAGATACTCTGTGATATATAGAAAAGACATTTATGGAAATAGTGAGTACTTCTGAAGACCATTTACATGTTCAGGACTAAAATCAACCCCCTAGAATGGCGAATCTGTCCCTTTAAAGGTGATTGTGAGCCAGTTATTTGAATATAAATCCTCTCTCCTTCTCTGATCTTGAATATGAAGGTTTTTGGTAATACTGTACAATTCAATTTGGGTTCTTCGATAAACGTCAGTACATACAATAATCCTTTTTTTCATAAAATTGTCCATCAGTTGGATTTGAAGAACATTTCCACCAATTGTTATTGTCACTCTCAAGACAGGTTGTATTTGAATTGGAGCATTGGAATGGATCATGCAAGAAGTATCCATCCTAAAAGCTTGACCAAGGTCTGGTGATAGATATGATCATTAGAAAACCAAAATATGTATTACTTTTTTATATAAAAAATATGTCCCTTTTAACAACTTGGTCTTGTAACAATGAAAAACATTGTTTAGAAAGATACATCACGATTGACGAATTTCCATTAAACTTAAAATGTATTTTTTAGAATCTAACTGATATATGTTAAAGGGGTACGCAAGTTATTTATTCATGGCTCGTATATCTCCATTTATATTATATTGTCAAAGAAAATTTACCAAAGACATTTAAAATACGGCTTTGAAAGAAGTAGTAATGAATTTCCCAATAACTCTGTGAATTATTAACAATTTTGTAAATTGCTTTATAGAACAAAAAGACATACACAAAGATCACTTTGGCACTTTCCTGAAATTGGATTGATTTAACACACCCATTTTCTAATTCCAAATATTGATTCCACCACTAATTTGTTAACTCAATTTGTTGTAATGTAATCTGGTTCGCTATCTTCTAACGCATGGTTTTACTTTTATTAAATTTCACCACCTTAAAAAGGGTGTTAGTAAGGAGAGTCTTAACAAATTTTATTGCTTCAATCACTTGGCCAATATCAGTTCAAACTTGTCAATTTCACAGATTATCCGCTAGCAATTTAATCTATTGATGCAGTCTGGTTAGAACTAAATGAAGATTTTTAAGTTTCGATGTACTAACGTAAACATAGTTACACTGTTTTCAGTTACAAAACGATGTAGAATTAATCTTGTGTTTTCAGACAATCTTCCACTGTTTTCAGACAATCTTCCACTGTTTTCAGACAATCTTCTACTGTTTTCAGATGATCTTACACTGTTTTCAGACAATCTTCCACTGTTTTCAGACAATCTTCCACTATTTTCAGACAATCTTCTACTGTTTCAGACAATCTTCCACTGTTTTCAGACAATCTTCCACTATTTTCAGACAATCTTCCACTGTTTTCAGACAATCTTCCACTGTTTTCAGACAATCTTCTACTGTTTCAGACAATCTTCCACTGTTTTCAGACAATCTTCTACTGTTTCAGACAATCTTCCACTGTTTTCAGACAATCTTCCACTATTTTCAGACAATCTTCTACTGTTTCAGACAATCTTCCACTGTTTTCAGACAATCTTCCACTGTTTTCAGACAATCTTCAAGTTTTTAAAACTGTAATGCACTTTAGTGAAGAATATGGTCATACAATGTACAATGTATGTATGTTTTTCATGATGCATGATGAATAATCAGTTAATTTTTTTTCGAACATGTATATGAGGTACCAGTATTTTCTCTTATAAAACTAAACTATCAGGCAAAAAGTTTTCACTATTAAAATAGATGTATAAAAAAAAGACAAAATAAATGTTTGAACCCCTGAAGCTTCCAAAATCGTGCATTATATATATTGCGAAATATCTGAGAATTTCTAACCTAGGTATGAGAATTTTGCCCCATCTGTCCCTCCTTTGGCTCCGCTACTGGAAATGAGCTCCATTCAAGTAATATCTTTTATAAACTTGCCTCATTTCGTTGATATTTTTCGTTTCGCTTTCTCATTCCATTGATTTAAGATTTTTAGATAAAACTTGTGAAATGTGAATAATTAAATGGTCTGCAAGACAAACTACAGGGTTTATTGATTGTAGTCTGGTAGACTATTAGGTGCCGTGGGTTCGAATCCTCCTCAAGATAAGAAAAATTCTAATGTCTGTGCCAGTGCTTTCGAGAGTCGGCCCGGTGTTGACACTCACCCGATGATATCTACACTGTAGAAGCAGTCACTGAGAAAATATATGCACTTGACGACTAATTAGATTATTGTGTATTAATTACAGATGCATGATAATCATTCAAATGAAATATCTTTATGAGAAATTTATTATAAAATCTATAAAACTAATTGATTATTTTTTCATGTGTATTGGAAAATATTGCTAATCAAAGTTTGACAATTATGTACGACAAATAACAAAAAAGTTTTATATGTCGGAAAGGAAACAAGAAATTTAAACGGACAAGTATCTTAAAGGAATTGTATTTAAAGAGTTTTTCAAAATTTGTATGTGTATCGGGACAGAATCAATTTGCATCATTCCAATTTTCTAACAGACGTATGTGTTTCCTGCAATTCCAGTAAAATTAACTGTTTGATGCGGTCATTACTTGCAATATTTTTCTATTAATAGAATTGCATGAACCACAGACTAAAAAAACAGCCTGACTGAAAATTGGAATGGTGCAAATTGATGCTAACAAAGTCCCCGATAAAAAATTAGAAAACCTCTTTATAATCCCTTTCATTGTTATTGAATATGATGATTCACTATAATAGCAATATGCTAGGATGCTATTCGATCAGAGTACATGCTGATCACGTTGATCATTAGGAATAACATGAAATGAACTATTCTTCCGCATTAAAAAGTCCAATCTGATTTGTAATTCTAATCATGCAATAACATGATCTTTATTAAATATGTAACATGAACTGCACTAATTTACTTTTAGTTTAAGAACAAATCAGAATTAAAGGTGCACTGAACATTTCTCATTGCGGTTTCGAATGCGGCATGATCCGCATAGTTCAGTGGTGCATGGCACAAATGGCTGGAAGGATCAGTGAAAAATACGAAGCGCCGTAAAGATTCCTCGACAGTTTGCAAGTCTCAAAAAGACAGTCCTAGCAAAGGTTTGCCCATTGCACACTTCATAATTTCAGTGTCCGTGACCATGTTAGATACATGTGTATTCACTGTGTTCCCAATAGATCGGAATAAGGTTGAATCAGTAAATTAACCCAACGACAACAAAATAGGTCTCGTCATAGATGACAATGGCTCTTTAATACAATTATAAAATGTTTTATTGATGAAAGATAATATGAACATGATAACGTATAAAATACATCAGATAAGTATTAATTATATTACTTTTTCTAGTAATGCATGACTTGTACTTTTTCGTCTTTGAGAAATGATGATGTATACATTTATACTTAGTTCTAATTACATCCATCAATCAATACCAATTATACACAAATCAAATACGTCAAGCTTTGATCAATGGTTTATAGTGCAATCGGCCCGCCTTGTAACTGTCAGTATCTGAAAACTGGTTTTTCATCCGACTCCTATCAACTAGCAGCGGCATCTAATGGTGTGGCCACACGAACAGTCTTGGTCGGAGAGTTCCTCGCCGACTTGAGTATTGTCAAGTTTTTCACCAGCCGGCTGTGGGCACATGCCAAGACAGAATATCGCCAGCGGTCGTTTTCCACTATGTCGATAATCACGTGTAGATCATGCAATTGAAGGGGAAGAAAGAATCTTATTGGATGACCATCAGACTTTACATAATGGAAAAAATAAACGGTCGGAAATTTCGACCATTCAGATCACATTTGTTAGAAAAATAGTAAATTTCCCGGTATGCCCTCATGGTGAAAAGAATAATCTAACTAGGCCCAATCCAGTGGATCTGAGACCATCCTTGAATAGCCTGTCGACATGAGTCCATTTCACGCAATACATCAATCTTTATAAATAATACAAGTTCTGTAGTTGGATCCATTCCAACAAAAACCTTAACTATTCAAAGAAAAGAACAGGAAAAATATTTTATTGTTCTAATGTCTGTCTACAGTAAGCTAAAGTCATGTTCCACCTGGGACCTTAAGGTGGTCATAATTATGTATTATAGCGCATCATATTAGCGAAATCTGGTTTCATGTCATGTAGATATATAGCGTTTTTCTTTTAATGTCATCCTAAAAAATACGCTACGAAAAGTATAAAAGTACGTCAATCAAAATATTTATCATTTGGATTACTTCGTCTTCTGTTTTGTAGACTTGAGCACTCTTTAACAATCTCAATTGAAAGGTGGAGTAGTCCGCACGTCACAAAATGTTCTAGTTAATTGGCAAAAAAATGACAATTGTACAGGTTGGACAACTTGTGAAGCACGGTCTATACGTACTACTTTACATCAAAACGCATAATGTGCTTAGAAAGTAACCTGCTTCAGATGGGTCGAGTCTTAATGAGGGTTTGCACATGTTAAATTTGAGGTTCAAGACTGACATACTTCTGCGACAGAGCGTCTGTAATTGGATAAAAAAAAAAAATTCGCCATAAAACTTGCTAAATTTGCTTATAAAAAATCATATTAATATGATTTTCAATATTTCTCATCCAATGTCATGATTGATGAGATTTCCATAGAAATAAGCTTATGAAACACGTTATGTCAGAAGGCTTTGCTTTTTATTATTATCTCCATTTTTTTTAGTTGTTACCCCTGTATTCGCGAAAGAACGCCAAATGTCGTGATATAAATTCATGCATATATCTTATTTCGATTATTTAAAGTTCATAATTTGAAATGTGAAATACACTGAAAGTTTCGGACAACTTTTTTTTCCAGATTGGTGTTGTCGACTGATGAATTTGGACCGTTTTCGTTTCAGATTGAAACAATTGGTGTTGCAGAATGATGAATTTGGATCGTTTTCTTTTCAGATTAAAACAATTGGTGATACAGATTGATAAATTTTGATCGTTTTCTTTCCAGATTGAAACAATTGGTGATGCATATTGTGTAGCTGGTGGTATACATAAATCTAGTAATTATCATGCACATCAGATCTGCTGGATGGCATTGAAAATGATGGAGGCAGCCAAGGACGAGAAGTCACATGATGGCAATATGATCAAGGTAAGACCGTTTTGTTCATCTTGGTTCAGTGATTCGAAGGAGCATTTTCTATGGCAATTCTAGATCTCATAAATATAATACACACTCAACTGCAGCTTTAGGTTTGTGTACCCGATGGGTAAGCAAAGTCACAAATCCACGATCTAACAAAATATACAACACAATTTATTCAAAAATAATAACCTTTCATTCATATTGTAAAAATAATCTTTCATGAAACCACACTTTGATTTGTTTTGTAGACACTTTGTTAAATCTCACATTTCTAGTAATATGGATAGTTTGATTTGTTTTGTAGACACTTTGTTAAATCTCACATTTCTAGTAATATGGATAGTTTGATTTGTTTTGTAGACACTTTGTTAAATCTCACATTTCTAGTAATATGGATAGTTTGATTTGTTTTGTAGACACTTTGTTAAATCTCACATTTCTAGTAATATGGATAGTTTGATTTGTTTTGTAGACACTTTGTTAAATCTCACATTTCTAGTAATATGGATAGTTTGATTTGTTTTGTAGACACTTTGTTAAATCTAACAGTTTAGTATTGTGAAAGGGTTTATATTTTTTTCATTAAAAAAGTTCATGAATGCAGGAAATGACTTCTGATCTTCTCATTATTACTTCTATAAACCACCTGCCAAGCTCCTGGTACTAAACTTTTTGTGAGAGTTATATTTTAATTTTTATTATTGATAACACGAAGAAGAAAATTTCATGTTGGAAACTCTTACGAGGATTGGTCTCAATGTTTTAGACCTACTTAAATAATAATTGGTAGATATATATAAGCATACATTATAGTATAGCTTACTGTGTTTCTACTGTTTTGGACATCCAAAGACCTTGGGCTGAGATTGTCGACCAGAGACCAATATAAGGGCAACATGAATCCAGTAAATGAGAAAGTTGGGATAAAGTCTTTGACCTTGTAAGGGGTTGCCTAATCAATGTTAAAGATGAATGGCAAGGAAGTTCAGCCACGTTGTCAACCCTTCGTGACAAATATTATGCTGACAACAATAATTCGAAAGCTGTTGTGAATGAGTTTTTTTAGGGTGACCCAGGAGAGTTCATTCTGTCATGGATTTGAGAAGTTTAAAGTTCCATATAAGAAGTGCATTTTTACGAAGTATGATTTTGTTGAAAAGTAAATCAAAAGAGTTTACAGCTAGTTGTTTTAATTATTGGACCAACCATCGTATTCCTTATTGAGTACATACGTTTTTTTTTATAATTCCTATAGTTATATTCGTTATTTTGTACTGTAGGTTCTTATTTGATAATTAAGAAAATATTAAACGAAAGGAAAACAAAAGAAATATGAAGACTTTAATGTCAAATGCTAATTTATTTTATTATCAGCATAGAAAGTAACAGAACATGCTTTTAACAATAAATTGAACTACTTCGCTCATCAATTAAAAGTTTTTATTAGAAAGAAACAGCAGGATCGGGGAACATGAGGCGATTCCAATTAAAATCTGGCATCCAACAATTTCGCCTTCATTATTGAAAATCTTTTATAAAGTATCTATTGAAAAATAATTATTGGCGCAGCTGATATCACCTCTGTCATTTCGAATATAAGTCCTTTTTTTCTAATTGCCACTGATTGCCACTAGCAGTTATTAAGAGAGGCGTTGAACAGGTTTAAAATGTATTCCTTAATTGCTCGCTGACAAAATTTCTTATACAATTCCATTCAATGGCTCTCTTGGGAAGAAGACGCATAAAAGTCAATCTTACTCAAAATATAAACATCGTTATTTCTGTAACGTTTGAAATCTGCCCAAGTCTCTTCCGTTTAGACACGCACAACATCCACTTAATTGGATCCTTACGGCACAAGCTTCTACTTAAATCACTACAAAGAAAACATTTATTTAAAGAATTCTTCTCTTATTTTCCACCCAAATGACGAAAGGAGATTTAGATCGGGGCTACAAATTTCTTGTTACTTAATGCCACGTTTGTCATTTTATTTCCAATTAAGGCAACATTTTTGTGACGTGTTGACTCTTCAACGTTTCAATTTTACATCTGGATAAGCAATAAAAAATTTTATCTTGTTCTGATCTGTATCATAGCACAGAGTTAAAACTTAAATTGCTTTGATTATAAAAAGAACCATTCAAGTGCTGTAACATGAATGTAACTCTCTAAAATAGAAGGTAGTAATTGAATATCGGTATAAAATCGTGGAATCATAATAATAGTGCAGACACTGCAGTGAAGAGAAATAACAATATTAAACTGTATTCGTTGAAACGTCAAGTGAATAATGTAATAAAACGAGTTATTCTCTTAAAACAGTTTTTGTCAGTTGCACTACATCTTGAATAAACGCAAGGCCGTGTGAAATAAATTTTACACACTTGTTCTTGGTGTTTGACAGCAGGGGATGTTAGAGTGAAATGAGAATAGTATTCTAAAAAAAAAGAACTGGGCTAGGTCATGAAGTAGGAAACAAAATTAAAGGATGAGATAGTTAGTGGTTAAGATTATAATAATAAAAGTATGAAAATCTTGTTTTTTTCTCTGTACTGGAAATTCGAATCTAAAAAAGCAAAAACATGTTAAAAATAATCTAAAATTTTGTTTAGATACGCCCAAAGTATATGTCAGAATTTGCTTTTTGATGGGTCTTCTTCAATCCCTCGGTCGACCTTTTACCTCTAGATTGTTGGAGTTCTACAGTATTGTCCGTTCGCTCTTCCCTTGGAGGTTAAAAGACCAAATCGAATTTGCATGACAACTAACTAGCTATCATATTTAAGGGAGTTATTTTCTCTGACCTCTTTGTGTGTATCGTTGTGTATATCAGAGACAATAACATAGCTTCCAATTACTCTTCTCGCCGTTCTACGTCGGTTGTTTCTGTAATTTCAGAATTTATATTACTGGTTTATGTCATCATTATCGCTAAAATCATTCTAAACAAACGACAATTGCGATATTAATGTCAGATTTTCTGGAATGACAGGAACCAAGGATGTCAGAAATCAGAAGGATGCACACAATGAGCTATAAGTATCCATTATACAAGCCTTGGCTTCTATTTTAAATGTATCGATATGCAACGTGTCAATTATAATCATGCATATTCTCAATGCATTGAATAACATCAAAATTTGTTATTTTAAAAAAAAAAAACCTAATTTCCAACATCATGTTTATTTTGTCTGATGGATTGAATTCAAAGTTCTTCACTTGGCTGGTTTACATAGAACTAAACCAATGAGAAATGTTAAGTAACTCCGGAGTAATTTTATAAGTCATTCCACGGTTTAAGAACTTCAAAAGGCGGCGAATGGACAAGATTAATGGAGTATTTTAGTATCAGTGCTGTGAAATAAGGATCAACTCATGTTCTCTTGTTTGAAACCATTCGCTAACGATCACGGCTAACGATTTTTCTGTCAACTTGAAATTTCTAATGCTTTTAAGTTAAAACTTAACTAGGATCCATTTCATATCAGACAGTTAGAGATATGACCGGCTTAGTAAATGGTTTATTTCAATGCTTGTGGGATTAGCTGTGGTAGAAGGCTGATTTAAACCATTCTTTAGATTTGTCTGATACTTGTCTTAAGTCTACATTTTTCATCATTACTTAAAAGATGTTCCACGAGATGGATGAAAAGTTGAGGTTCATAATTATGATAATCAAAATAATTTCAAACTTTGGAAACTTGTGACAGTTATTCGTTAGATTTGTTGTCATCATTACTTAAAAGATGTTCCACGAGATGGACGAAAATTTCATAATGATGATGATGATAATTTCGAAATTTAGTTGAAAGTTAATAGTGTGTATTTTTGCACTATTCCGGTTGCCCGTTGACGCCTGCAAAAAGGCATTGATGAAATAATAAAAGATGATGAAGTTATAGGCCGTCACCATCGCAAATAACTAATCCGGTAAAGATTAATTCTGGAATTTCAGAAAGCACTGACGCCGGGACACGAAATAGATCAAAATGTTTTTCAGTTATTTTGATGCTCATGGTTTGTTCAGCTGTTTAAAGAATCATTACATATATGCATCTGTATTTCAAACATAAACCAATGGATTTTTTGTTTTTAGTAGCATGTGCCTTTTGGCAGTGATTCAAAGGGCGCTCAGGCAGGGGCTTCTTCTTCTCCTTGTCTCCTTAGCCTGTATCGCTGATATTTGCTGTGATTCACTTAGTTCTGAACGTTTGAGTTGATGTCCAGGTCTGAAAAAGGTCATGAGACCAATGGTATTTTCTAGTGTCCTATTTTCTCGTCAAATCGCCATGATTTGTGGACTTTTAAGACATTGACAAGGATGGTTAAACTTTAAACAATGATTTATCATTTTCTGGTAGACGTATAATTATATCATCAGGGTGTCGTGTCTTATAAAAAAAATCAAAGGACTTCCTTGCTGCTCTTCTACAAGCTTGACACTTCAGTCGGTTTACGGTTAGTTACATTGCCAGACGCTATAATTGGACTTTTCTCAAAGAATGACCTTATAAGTACTTGATACTAGTATAAACTTGGGTATTAGATATAAAATTGGGCAATATACGTCGTCTTCAGTATCATATACTCGAGTTTCCCAAACTTAACAGATTGCATTTCTTGTCTCAAATACTGAAGTAGATGATCTCTTAGGCGCTATCAAAGGATGATAAGTTATCGTTCCTAACGACCTATTACAGGAGGTATATATGGACAGATACGTGTTTTGATGGAAACGCGGGCAATTGGTGGCATGTTATATAAGCTGAGGTCGACTAAATTGACTGCCCGGGTTCCAAAACCCCCAACCTTAAGAAACTAGTATTGAAATTAATAATATTGTTGTCAATGGAACAAGGTTTGTCTGTTAACTGATGAAAACTGTAAAGGAATTGATTAAATTAAAAGACCGGTTGTCGGAAGATAGTCAATTGAAGTCGAAAGAAATCGTACAGTTGGTGTACAATGAACTTGATCGTCTTTCATTTCCATGACAAAAACTGAGACCACTCTAAGACGAGATTAGTTGACCTTCTTGCAACCATTTCAATTGATTACTTGAATGGAGGTCTGGAGAAAAGGGTTTGTTTTGGTTCCAATTCCAGTTCAGATCAATAATGATGCTTGTCAATTAGGATTAAATGTCGTAGAAATACTAATTCTGATATTTGGGGAAGTGTAATTAGGTCATCGACTATGGAATAGCTAAGTTTCATTACATCTGTTGATTTGGGTTAACGTGGACTAATTTACAATGATTATAATCTGAAAGAGGATTGTTGGTCCAACATCTGTCGATCATTTGTCATTGGGTCATTCTTACTTCCGTTTTGTCGCCTTACTTACTAGTGATTTGGGCTAATGAAGACAGTGCCTAACAGAGTTTAATGGGAATATCTTCCAGGACAACGACTTTAGCTAACATCTTTTCGATGTATTTGTATTTATCTAAAATAACTCAAACATTATCCTTTTCCCCCTTTATCTGATTCTTACTTTGATTTGTAAGTTGTTCACCCATCCAAGTAATTTACAATTTATTTGTATTTGTACTTATCTAAAAACATTTATCAGAAAATGAAAGGAAATGTTGTATCTGATGATCTAATGAAGACAGACAGCAGTGCAGAGAACACCAAATGACATCATCCATTATCCTTTTCCCCCTTTATCTGATTCTTACTTTGATTTGTAAGTTGTTCACCCATCCAAGTAATTTACAATTTATTTGTATTTGTACTTATCTAAAAACATTTATCAGAAAATGAAAGGAAATGTTGTATCTGATGATCTAATGAAGACAGACAGCAGTGCAGAGAACACCAAATGACATCATCCATTATCCTTTTCCCCTTTTATCTGAATTTTACTTTAATTTGTAAGTTGTTCACCCATCCAAATAATTTACAAGATGAAATAATTTTCTGACATGTGCTGTCCGACATCTGTCAAATAATATACTTCAGAACCAGAAAAGAGTCGGCCAATTTTAAATTAGAATGAAATAAACAATTTAAATTGAGTTATATTTCTGGCTAGATATCAGTTAAATTCATTACATTTATTTCAATTGATGGTTTAAGACTGTTCTGTATTCTACACATTTCATATGGAGTCTGAATCTATTTTAAGATTTTACGAGAGATCTTAAGAGATCCTAGTATCTTTACGACTTACAATATGCTTTTTTCTTTAAAGTGATTGCCTGTTCTACGTTATCTCATATGTCAAGGACACCAATAAGAGCCTATTTCCATCCGTTAAGGACACTAATAAAACCCTATTTCAAATTTTCAAGGACATCAAATCATTATTTTTCATCTGGTATTTCCAGGAGAACAATAATCAAAAATAGATTAAGGCTTCCCAGGCAAAAAAAGAGAGCAAACAAGAAAAACTGCACATTACGTTATAATAATAGTAGTAACTTATGGACAGTATGTCGGTTTGATTCTAGTATTAAACCGTATTTAATATTCTATATTGCAGATGAGAATTGGAATTCATTCGGGACCAGTATTAGCAGGAATTGTTGGTAAAAGAATGCCAAGATACTGTCTGTTTGGAAATAGTGTTACTCTGGCCAATAAATTTGAGTCTGGCAGTGAACCATTAAAAATTCACATTAGTCCAACAACTTACGAGTGAGTAATCTGGTTTTATTTCAAGCTGATTTATATTATATTCCCGTTTTAGGTTAACACCGTTTACAATCTGTATTAAGATGAATGTTTAATATATTCTAATGCTATTTTGTCCATTACAACCACTACTGTAAACAAACCATATACCATTTTATAATGCTTAGTTGTGCCAATAGACGAGGTACGATGTCCAGTGTGGTGTACGGTGACGGAAATATCGATACAGTAGAAAATAGAAGAAACGAATGTGTCTGCACCGTCTCCGGGCTCTACCTCGTGTGTTCACTTCTATTTTCGTTTGTATCGATTATTCAGCACCGTACACCACACCGAGCCTCTTCTATTCGTAGCTTTAAGAAGTTCAATGGGCGCTTACTGTTTTTCGCAAACACTTGGCTTTGCTTTAATACCTTAAGAAATCGAGACGAATACCGTAGTATATTAAAATATTGTTTACATCTGGTGAATAAAATACCGCTCATAGTATGTACAGGCCTATTTAATTTCGTTTTAAATTGAGTGCAGTGAAATGTCGTTGTTATCGAGTATATTGAAATACCAATCATACCTCGTATGCTTAAATACTTTCATTTGCACTATTGGAATGTCGTTTCTACCGCATCGTTTGCTAGTCAAAATGACTCCTTTTGCGATCTAATACTTCCTTTGATAAACCAAAAAAATATATTGCAACGATCTGAGAATGAAATCGCATATTTTCTTTAAAATATATCTTCTACAGTCTCTATCACCTTTGGTACTATCGACAATGGCAAGATCGATCTGAAGTCTACAAAAGTTACATTTTGAATTGCTACCGAATTTTTATGAAATGTGATTCAAAATTTTTCTTGGTTAGCCAACACTGAAATTTGGTGTAATAAATGGTTAACCTAATTTTTCAACCTAATTTGATCCCTGCGTTGAATTACCTTATATATAGTTCAAATCGAGTGACTAAAATATCCTTTACATTTAGCTATTTAAGATATCGTTTACATAGAGTGAATAGAATATCGTTTACATACAGCTATTTGAAATATCATTTCCATAGAGCTATTTGAGCTATTTGAAATATCGTTAACATTGAGTGAATGGAATATCGTTTACATTGAGCTATTTAAACATCGTTATATCGAGCTATTTGAAATATTGTTTACATGGAGTGAATGGAATATCAGAGCTATTTGAAATATAGTTTATATGGAGTGAACGGATTATAGAGTTATTTGATACATCGTTTACTTGGAGGGAGTGGAATATCATTTTTATCGAACTAATTGAAATGTGAAGTATTCTTCATATTGATCTTTTATTGAAGTATCTTTGGGATTGAGTCTAATGAAATACTATTACATCGAGAAAAATGTTGTTCAAGCGCCCAATGTAATATTTTTATTAAGAAGCCCGTGTCTTTGCAATGTCCCCAAAGTATCCTCTGAGCTTTTCTGGATTTTTTAAAGACATTTTTATATTTTCCAGTTTGGTCAAAGAAATGTCCGGCTTTACATTTACTGCTCGTGATTTCAACGATCTTCCAGCTGGATTTCCCGATGAACATAGAGGATTACCGTGCTTCCTGGATGGTTACCGTTTTCCAAGTGCTCGTGATGGAGACGATCACGTGCTGTTAGCCGTGGAGAAATACTTGCCAAAACAAGAGGAATGACAATAGATTGGACAATATGAGTACGAGTGAAGACTAATATCATGTTTGAAACAGTGGACATTGTAAATATATAGGAACAAAGATAGTAACGAGTTGAAAAGAATCATCTTCTCCACCACTTTATGGACCGTTGTGTGTTGGAATTGTAGATTCCATATATAAGGCGTTCTGTGATATAGTTTAACCAGAAAATGACATTATAAGGAAAAGGTGATACATTATGTGAATGTAAGAATATTATTGCATTTGAAAAAAATGTCCACGGAAACTTTTTAGCTTTTAAACACTGTGATTTGTCTTTTAATGCCAAAAATAGGTTATTTTAGCAACTTTAATTATTATTTACATATCTATCTTATCAATCTGGTGAAAGTGCAGATGTTAATGTTTCGTTACATTTTTCTTATCACCCATGATGTGAGGCGTTTCTGAGGAAATAGTCGTGTCAGTCGAATT